GCTGAGGCAGGAGAATTGCTTGAACCTGAGAGGCAGAGGTTGCGGTGAGCCGAGATTGCACCACTGCACTCCAGCCTAGTGCCTGGCGACAGAGCAAGACTCTGTCTCAAAAAAGAAAGAAAAGTAAAAAAAGACAGAGGCAAATTATTGTTATCATTATTACTATTGTCTTTTATTTTTGAGATAAAGTCTCGCTCTGTCACCCAGGCTTTTGTGCAGTGGTGTGATCTCAGCCCACTGCAACCTCTGCCTCTCGGGTTCAAGCAATTCTCATACCTCAGCCTCCCAAGTAGCTGGGATTACAGGCATGCACCACTATGCCCAGCTAATCTTTGTATTTTTAGTAAAGGCAGGGTTTTGTCATGGTGGCCAGGCAAGTCTTGAACTTCTGACTTCAAGTGATCCATCCGCCTCAGCCTCCTAAAATGTTGGGATTATAGGCATGAGCCACTGTGCCCCGTCAGCCACTGCGCCTGGCCCTTACAAATCTGAGGTAGCATTATCACAAAGTGAGAGTGGGGAAGGGCAAGAAATGACAAGGAAGGAAATCAGGGAGCCTTCTGCATTATTTTTTGTTTGTTTGTTTAAGGCAGGGTCTCACTGTGGCATCCAGGCTAGAGTGCAGTGGCCACAATCTCAACTCACTGTAGCCTCAACCTCTGGGGTCAAGGAACATGCCATCACACCTGGCTAAGTTTTGTTTTTTCTGTTTTTTGTTTTTGAGATGGAGTTTCGCTCTTGTTGCCCAGGCTGGAGTGCAACGGCCCAATCTTGGCTCACCACCTCTGCCTCATGGGTTCAAGCGATTCTCCTGCCTCAGCCTCCCAAGGAGCTGGGATTACAGGCATGCACCATCACACCTGGCTAATTTTGTATTCTTAGTAGAGATAGGGTTTCTCCATGTTGGTCAGGCTGGTCTCGAACTCCAGACCTCAGGTGATCTGCCCACCTTGGCCTCCCAAAGTGCTAGGATTACAGTCATGAGCCACCACAACTGGCTTGTTTTGTATTTTTTGTAGAGCTGAGGTTTCACCTTGTTGCCCAGGTTGGTCTCGAACTCCTGAACTCAGGAAATCCTTCTGCCTTGGTCTCCCAACGTGCTAGTGCTGGGATTACAGGATGAGCCACTGTGCCTGGCCTGCAAGATTCTTGAGTACTCTCTTTTGGGTCGCATCTTAGAGGAAAATAGTCTTCAGGGAGGGGTAATCTAGCATTTACTGATGCCTTGCACTATGGCAAACATTGTGTTTTGTTCTCTCTCTAATAACTCATTTACTCCTCCAAATCACCTTGTGGGGAGGTACTGTTATTTTGCTCCTTTTGCAGACAAGGAAACAGAGGCACGGAGATGGTTTGGCAACTTGCCCAAGGTCACACGGCTAGTTAGGGCAGAGGTGGGACTCAAACCCAGGTCATCCTGGGAGTGAAGCACATGCTCTCACCCAAGGGCTCTCATCTGAGGGCCAAGGGGGCTGAGGAGGCAGCTGAGCCGCCAAGGAATGGCTGGCTGGCACCTGGGCATTCGATTCACAGTCAGAAGACATGGACTCGAGCGCCAGCTCAACTGCTTATTAGCCATGTGACCTGGACCAAGTCATGCCACCTCTTAGGACCTCAGTCTCTTCAGCTGCAAAACAGTGATAATAAAACTTGCTCCACCCACTTCATGGGGCGATGTGAGGATTCCATGAAATCAGTGATACTGCAAGTGCTTTGAAAACAACTGCAAAGGCCTGCAGAAATAGAGATCGCGCTAATTTCTTCAGAGAAGCGTTTCCTGGATGATCTCTTGGTGACGTTCCAGCTCATCTCCTCCACCTGTCCTCAACAGCCTGAGTGTTGGAAGTCGGAACCACGACCTTGTGGTTCACTTCCAGCACCGTTTTAGTGCAGAGGCAGAAGACAGCTGTCACAGACTGTACCCGCTCAGGAATTCTCCAAACAAACACGTTACAGCATTGGCTTAAGGTTCAATCCCACACCCGAATTTCAGCAAGGGCCCCTGTCTCCTGTTTGTCGTAAAACAAAGTCTTTCAGCTACTTGAGCAGGATTTAACTAGCGATCAGTCCTAGAGATAAGTGGATCACACTCAACAAGCTCACATGGGAATAATTTGTACACAATAGCAGTTTATAATTTATATCTCGGAATCCACAGTCAGGGAGTTATCTCTGCAGTTACTAGAGACACAGACTCCTCCCATATTACATGCCCCCCACTCTGTCCAGCACGGAGCTGAGAAGCAGAATGAGTAATCAGCAGACTAAGCAGTGGGCATGAAATCACAGTTCAGTGTGTGAATCGCTCATTTTTACTATAAGGCTGTACAAATTGGAGGGTGGAAACTCTTTCCGTTTACCTGTTCTGTATACCACATCCCACCTCTCCCTTACCTGCCATATCTATAGCAGTAAGCACAGTGCCTCACACAACAGCTCAGAGAATGTTGCAAAATGAGTGGAATTAGGGAAAAGAGAATGCAGTGGTTTCACAAGTTTCCTGGAGGTCAAGGTGAACTCTGCTGTTTGGCTCCTTCATGGGGCCGGCTTGTTTGTGCCTCTTTCGTTGCGGCCTCTCACTTCTGGAAACTCATCGTCCAGTCCTCATGCAGCTTTCGACTCCATCAAAGCTCAAAGGGACCATGTTTCCAAACCCACATCAGGAAACAAAGCTTCATGGAACATTTGAAAAGAGGAATCTATATTCCAGAAAGATCCATGCCCTTTTATTTATATTTGGATTTATATTCTCTTCTTTCTGCATTTGGACAGATTTTTCTCAGTCCAGTTTGCCACTTTATAGCTTTCCTCACAATGATTTGGTTACTCCTAAATATATCTAGGGAGATCCCTTAGACTCCTCAGTTGACTTTCAAATCACCTAACCCCACGGCTTAATTGATTCTATTCTGAAGTTTGCTCAGTTCTCCACTTTCTTCTTCTAATGTCTTCCTGGAGGCCTCTACGCTATGCGTCTACTACCAGGAGCACAGGTGGGGCAGGTGGAATGCCTGCCCACAGGCAGAACCCTACTGTGCTGGGGTGCAAGAAGGGTCTTGGATTCTCATTCCAACTCTGCCTCTAATAATCATTGGTGCAGGTGGGGCGCGGTGGCTCATGCCTGTAATCCCAGCACTTTGAGAGGCTGAAGTGGGTGGATCACCTGATGTCAGGAGTTTGAGACCAGCCTGGTTAACATGGTGAAACCCCCATCTCTACTAAAAATACAAGAAAATTAGCTGGGCATAGTGGCAGGTGCCTGTAATCCCAATTACTTGGGAGGCTGAGGCAGGAGAATCACTTGAACTCGGGAGGCAGAGGTTGCAGTGAGCCCAGGTCATGCCATTGCACTCCAGCCTGGACAAGAGCGAAACTTGATCTCAAAAACAAAACAAAACAAATAATCACTGGTACACACATAATGATCATCGGTGTCCCCTTTGGTAAGTCAGTTCTCTGTGTGTCTCATCTGCAAAATGGAGAGGAAGGATAGACGGCACAGGCTCAAAGCCTTAATGATCTCTTGTAAGTGAAGCATTCAGTAAGTCCTGGAATGGGAGAATTTGCCCACAAACTCGGCTTTCCCTTCTGCAGTCTGAAGATAAATGGTCTCTGTTCCTATCTAAGGCAAACACCTTCACTGAGCTGCATGAGATCCATCCCCTCACTCCAGCCATTCTCCCTCTTCTCTCCTGAGTCACGTTTTTAATTCTTTACTGAATCATTTTCATCAGCACACAAATATGCTGTAATTTCACTCATCATTTTTTTAAAAAGTCGCTCTTGACCCTGTGTCTCAGTCTGCTTTGTGCTGCTATGACAGAATACCAGAGACTGGGTAATTGATAAAGGAAAAACATTCATTTGGTTCACAGTTCCAGTTGCTGGGAAGTCCAAGGTCAAGGGGCTGGCATCTGGTGAAGGCCTTTTTGTCACCTCATAACATGGCATAAGGCATCACAGGGGCAATAGAGAGGGGAGTGAGGCAGGAGAAGAAAGGGAACCAAGCTCATCATTTAATGAGAAAACCACTCCCATAACAACGGCATTAATCCCACTGTGAGGACAGAGCCCTCATGGCCTAATCACCTCTTAAAGGTTCCACCTCAAAATACTGCTGCGGCTGGGCATGGTGGCTCATGCCTATAATCCCAGCACTTTGGGAGGCCGAGGTGGATGTATCACCTGAGGTCAGGAGTTCGAGACCAGCCTGGCCAACACAGTGAAACCTTGTCTCTACTAAAAATGCAAGAAAATTAGCTGGGTGTGGTGGTGCGTGCCTGTAATCCCAGTTGCCCAGGAGACTAAGGCAGGAGAATTGCTGGAACCTGGGAGTGGAGGCTGTGGTGAGCCAAGATTGAGCCACCGCACTCCAGCCTGGGTGACAGAGCAAGACTCTGTCTCAAAAAAAAAGTTAAAAAAAAAAAAAATAAGAAGATGCCAACAATAAAAAAAGAAAAAAGTACAAATAGGGCTGGACACAGTGGCTCATGCCTGTACTTCAGCACTCTGGAAGGCCAAGGTGACTTTGGGAGGCTGAGGCGGGCAGATCACAAGGTCAGGAGTTCAAGACCAGCCTGATCAATATTGTGAAATCCTGTCTTATAAATGAGTAAATAAATAAAGTAAAAAGAAAGTAACAATAATAATACAAATAGGCTGGGCATGGTGGCTCAAATCTGTAATCCCAGCACTTCCAGAGGCCAAGGTAGGCAGAGAGCTTGCATCCAGGAACTTAAAACTAGCCCAGGAAACATGGTAGGACCCCATCTCTATAAAAAAACAAGAATTAGCCAGGCATGGTGGCATGTGCCTGTGGTCCCAGCTACTCAGGAAGCTGAAGTAATGAGGATCACTTGAGCCCAGGGAGGTCAAGGCTGCCATGAGCCGTGATTTTGCCACTGCACTCCGACCTTGGTGACAAAGCAAGACCCTGTCTCAAAAAATAATAATAATACAAATAAAAACATATAATATAACAATTATTTGCAGAGCACTTATATTGTGTTAGGTATTAAATTAACAGAGAGAAGATTTGAAGTATATGGGAGGATGTGTAGATTATATGCAAATATTACACCATTTTATTTTATTTATTTTTCTTGAGATGGAATCTCACTCTTGTCGCCCAGGCTGGAGTGCGGTGGCACAATCTCCGCTTACTACAACCTCTGCCTCCTGGGTTCAAGAGATTCTCCTGCCTCAGCCTCCCAAGTAGCTGGGACTACATGTGCCCACCACTACATCCGGCTAATTTTTGTATTTCTTTAGTAGAGACAGGGTTTCAGCATGTTGGTCAGGCTGGTCTGGAACTCCTGAACTCAAATGATCCATCTGCCTTGACATCCCAAAGTGTTAGTGTGAGCCACTGGGCTGGGAACCTTGGCTTGCTCCTGTAATCACAGTGATTTGAGAGGTGGGAGGATCTTTGAGGTGGGAGGATTGCTTGAGCTCAGGAGTTCAAGAACAGCCTGGGCAACATGGCAAGACCCCCATCTCTTAAAAAAAATGGATTCTGGAATCTTCAGGGGACAATTGTACTTTCTCCCCATTCTGTTCTCTATATCTCTCTCTCTTTTTTTTTTCGAGATGGAGTCTTGCTCTTGTCACTCAGGCTGGAGTGCAATAGCACAATCTTGGCTCACCACAACCTCCGCCTCCCAGGTTCAAGCAATTCTCCTGCCTCAGCCTCCGGAGTAGCTGGGATTACAGACATGTACCACCATGCCTGGCTAACTTTTGTATTTTTAGTAAAGATGGGGTTTCCCCATGTTGGCCAGGCTGATCTGGAACTCCTGACGTCATGATTCGCCCGCCTCGGCCTCCCAAAGTATTGGGATTACAGGTGTGAACACTGTGCCTGGCCCCTTTCTGTTCTCCCTTGAACCCATTTGAGTCACTCCATGACTCCACCCAAGCTGCTCTTTGTTAAGATTGTCAGTCCCCTCCAGTGTGGTTAAATGTAAGGGTCATCACTTAATCTTTATCTTCCTTGACTGTTCAGCTGAGTATTTCTTCTTCCTTGAGAAATTTTTTTGCCCCTTGGCTTCCAAGACACTATACTCCCTTTTTTTTTTTTTTTTTGCAATTTTTAAAGTTAATTGATGTATTTGACGATCAGCAATTAGTTCTCATCCACATTGACTGTCTGTAGATTTTTGAAAGTGGTAACAGGTACATAGGCAACCAAAGCATAGAGCTTATTTGGTGAATCTTCATCCTCATTACGTTTTCTGGACAACCGCACATGGATTCGGTATGGGACATTCCTTATTCCTTTGGCCCAGACAGTTTTGTTGAGCCTGGTATCAATGTGCCCATCTGGAGTTCCCATCTCCTTCATAACAAACTTCCGAATCTCTTTGACTGCCCGAGGGGCATGCTTCTTGAAGCCCACTCCATGGATGTGCTTGTGAATACTGATGGTGTATTCTCGGGTCACCACCTCTTTGATGGCAGAACGGCCCTTTTTCTTCTCGCCACCCTTCTTTGCGGGAGCCATTCTGTCGGGTCCGAGGCGGAAAGCTATACTCTCTTGACTATTCCATCAAGGTCCCCTTTGCTAGGTTCTCCACATCTCCTTCATCTCTAAATGTTACAGAGAACCAGACATAGTGGCACTTGCCCACAGTCCCAGCCATTCAGAAGGCTGAGACAGGGAGGAGCCCAGGAGGTCAAGGCTGCAGTGACCTGTAATCACGCCTTTGCACTCCAGCCTGGGCAACAGCGCAAGACCCTGTCTCCAAAAACAAAACAAATGTTGGGGGGTCGCAGGGTTCAGTCCTTGGATCTGTTCCTTATCTCACGCTGTTGCAGATCTCATTTAGTCTCATAGCATTGAATGTCACCTGGCATAGCCCACATTCCCCTAGGAGCAGACCCTTAATATAACAGTTTGCATATAGGTAGCTTATGTGGGAATGAAATTCCAGAGAGCAGAAATGAGGGACAGGAGAAGTCAAACAGAAAAAAGAAGGAACATGGCTGGGCGTGGTGGCTCATACCTGTAATCCCAGCACTTTGGGAGGCCAAGGCGGGCGGATCACCTGAGGTCGAGACCAGCCTGACAAACATGGAGAAACCCCGTCTCTACTAAAAATAAAAAATTAGCCGGGCATGATGGCACATGCCTGTAATCCCAGCTACTTGGGAGGCTGAGGCAGGAGGATCACTTGAACCCAGGAGGCGGAGATTGTGGTAAGCCGAGATGGTGCCATTGCACTCCAGCTGGGCAACAAAAGCGAAACTTCATCTTTAAAAAAAAGGAACACAGTTCAAGAGAGCATTCTTGGGTTGACCACCACTATGGGAGACAGATGCCTGACCCGAAGGACCATCTAAGGAGATTCCGAACTGTCTCTCAAGGGATGGAAAGGGGAAGGCATTTGTCTCTCAGTTTTCATACACTGTTGGAGGAGAAAGTAAGTATTTCAGGTACGGGAGCAGCATGAAGGAAGGGACAAAATCACTAACCCCTAAGCTGGGTGCAGTGGCTCACGCCTATAATCCCAGCACTTTGGGAGGCTGAGGCAGGTGGATCACCTGAGGTCAGGAGTTCGAGACCAGCCTGACCAACATGGTGAAACCCATCTCTACTAAAAATACAAAATTAGTCTGGCGTGGTGGTGCATGCCTGTAATCCCAGCTACTTGGGAGGCTGAGGCAGGAGAATCACTTGAATCCAGGAGGCAGAGTTTGCAGTGAGCCAAGATGGCGCCTTTGCACTCTAGCCTGGGCAACAAGAGTGAAACTCTGTCTCAAAAAAAAAAATCACTAACAGCTAACCTCTGCTCTTTTCTTCCTATCATCTCAGTAGAACGGCAAGGGAGGAGTAGGATGACTCTGGGCTTGACCAGGGGCCGAGTTCTACTCAGCCTTATTCTAGCTGTATGATTTAGGCAAGTTATTTGACCTTTCTACACCTTGGTGTCTTCATCTTAAAAAATAAGGAAGATGATACCTACCGTGATGAGTTATGAAGATGACATAAAATAACACAATAAAGTGCTTAGCAGAGGGCCAGAGACAGACAATGAGTAGTACAGTGGTTACTACTATGATTCTTTGACTATATCACAGGAAGCTGTGTGAGAAATACCTGCACCACCTGGGAGACAGCTGCAAATGCCAGAGAAGGTCATCCTGTGGAACAGTGAGATGCAGGAGCCAGATAGCAGAGAACACTGAATCCCAAGCTGAAATCTCGGCGCTGGAACGTGACTAAAGGATCTGGACCAGTGGACACATAGAACACTGAATGCCTGTGACAGGAGCAAACCCGAAGGCCTGAAGACCAGCGGGAAGGAACAGCCTGCTGTCACCTGGCCCTCCCCAGGTCCCTGCACATCTCCCCATCAATGCCCTTTCCGTGTCCTGTTGTAGCTACCTGTTTCAGACATCTCTACAGCCATTTCCCTGGAAAGCCCTTGAGGGCAGGGACAGGATGTAGTCAGCCTGATCCTCAAGCTTGGCACAGGCTTGGCACGTAGTAATGCTCCATGAATGTTTGCTGAAGTCTTAATATAGCTGAGCAACTCAATAACCTGAGAGACTGTCATGCAATAATTCAGATGTGAGGATGAAAACCTGGGTGAGGATGACGGCAGCGAAAATGTAGAACATCTGCAGGAAGAGGCACAAAACTGTTGCAATGAGAATTTTTACATGGAAAGTCAAGAAGATATGCGCCCCTTGGCTGGGTGCAGTGGCTCACATCTATAATCCCAACACTTTGGGAGGCTGAGGCAGGTGGATCATTTAAGGTCAGGAGCTTGAGATCAGCCTAGCCAACATAGTGAAACCTCGTCTCTACTAAAAATACAAAAATTAGCCAGGTGTGGCTGCAGACATCTGTAATCCAGCTACTCGGGAGGCTGAGGCAGAATTGCTTGAACCTGGGAGTGAGCGGAGATCGCACCATTGCACTCCAGCCTGGGTAACAGAGCAAAACTCCATCTTGAAAAAAAAAAATAATAATAATAATACACACTTTGAGCCAGGTCAGGTGTGGTGGCTCATGCCCGTGATCCCAGCATTTTGGGAGCCCAGGGCAGGTGGATCACCTGAGGTCAGAATTTCAAGACCAGCCCAGTCAATATGGTGAAACCCCTTCTCCACTAAAACTACAAGAATTAGCCAGGTGTTGTGGTGCGCAACTGTAGTCCCAGCTACTTGGGAGGCTGAGGCAGGAGAATCGCTTGAACCTGGGAGGCAGAGGCTGCAGTAAGCCAAGATCAAGCCACTGCATTCCAACCTGGGTGACAGAGAGAGACTCTTGTCTGAAAAAAAGATAAAAAATAAAAGTTTTGAACCAAGCTTTACTGCCCAGTAGCTAGTTCAGCCTAGATATGTCATTTGCCCTCTCTGAAGCTCCGAGCCTTTTATAGTAAATGGGGATCATAAGGGGATAATAATGCCTGCTCTGCCTTCCAGGGTTGAAAAGATCAGCAAGGGCCGGGCGCGGTGGCTCACGCCTGTAATCCCAGCACTTTGGGAGGCCGAGGCGGGTGGATCACGAGGTCAAAAGATCGAGACCATCCTGGTCAACATGGTGAAACCCCATCTCTACTCAAAATACAAAATATTAGCTGGGCATGGTGGCGCGTGCCTGTAGTCCCAGCTACTCAGGAGGCTGAGGCAGGAGAATTGCCTGAACCCAGGAGGCAGAGGTTGCGATGAGCTGAGATCACGCCATTGCACTCCAGCCTGGGTAACAAGAGCAAAACTCCGTCTCAAAAAAAAAAAAAGAAAAGATCAGAAAGATTGTAAATGTTCAGATGCTCTGCAAACTATCAAGTGTTTTTAAAATGTAAGGCAACTTGCCGGGCGCAGTGGCTCACCCCTGTAACCCCAGCACTTCGGGAGTGAGGTGGGCAGATCACCTAAGGTCAGGAGTTTGAGACCAGCCTGACCAACTTGGAGAAATCCCATCTCTACTGAAAATACAAAATGCTGGACGCAGTGGCTCACGCCTGTAATCCCAGCACTTTGGGAGGCCGAGGCGGGTGGATCACGAGGTCAAGAGATCGAGACCATCCTGGTCAATATGGTGAAACCCCGTCTCTAATAAAAATACAAAAAAATTAGCTGGGCATGGTGCCGCCTGCCTGTAGTCCCAGCTACTCAGGAGGCTGAGGGAGAATTGCCTGAACCCAGGAGGCGAAGGTTGCAGTGAGCCGAGATGGCGCCATTGCACTCCAGCCTGGGTAGCAAGAGCGAAACTCCAACTCAAAAAAAAAAAAAAAGTGAAACTCCGCCTCAAAAAAACAAAACACTATCCAGAGCGGATGTGGTAGCTCACGCCTGTAATCCTAGCACTTTGGGAGGCTGAGGCAGGCAGATTGCCTGAACTCAGGAGTTTGAAACCACCCTGGGCAACATGGTGAAACACCATCTCTACTAAAAAATACAAAAAATTAACTGGGTTTGGCTGTGTCCCCCCACACACAAAAAAAAAGAAAAAAAAATTAACCAGGCATGGCAGCGTACACCTGTAGTTGCAGCTATTTGGGAGGCTGAGGCAGGAGAATGGCTTGAACTCAGGATGCAAAAGTTGCAGTGAGCAGAGATCTCGCCATTGCACTCCAGCCTGGGTGGCAGAGCGAGACTCTGCCTGCAGGGAAAAAAAAAAAGGAGAGAGAGAATTTTGACCAACAGGCTTGGAACATTATCACCCCATAAGATGGGCAAGGCCAGCCTGGCGCAGCGGCTCATGCCAGTAATCCCAGCACTTTGGGAGGATGAGGTAGGTGGATCACCTGAGATCAGGAGTTCGAGACCAGCTTGACTAACATGGTAAAACCCCATCTCTACTAAAAATACAAAAAATTAGCTGGGCATAGCGGTGAGCACCTGTAATCCCAGCTACTTGGGAGGCTGAGGCAGGAGAATCACTCGAACCTGGGAGGCAGAGGTTGCAGTGAGCCGAGATCATGCCATTACACTCCAGCCTGGGTGACAGAGCGAGACTCTGTTTCAAAAAAAAAAAAAAAAGATGTGCAAGGCCAAAGCCCATCCCTGCTGTGAAGATGGCTGAGTCTGGCTGTAAAGCTTGATCGCCTTAAAGCTTCCAAGTCATCTGACCATTCCTTACAAGGAACCTGAGCTTCCCCAAACAATGTTCCTGTTATCACTTAGCACCAAGATTCAGGCCCATAGAATGTTAGAATACATTTTTCTTCCTTTGTAGAAAGAGGAAACAAAGATTTCAGGTTGACATTTTTTTTTCTACTCATAATCTAAACAATTGGCATTCTTTTTTTTTTTTATTAGACGGAGTTTCACCATTGTTGGTCAGGCTGGTCTTGAACGCCCAACCTCAGGTGATTCGCCTGCCTTGGCCTCCAAAGTGCTTGGATTACAGGCATGAGCCACCACGCCCAGCCTAACAATTGGCATTCTTATTTTATGTACTAATCAAAGAAAACCAGACAAAAATCAGACAAAATCAGGCGAGGGCCCAATTCTTGGACTCGGATAAATAAGTTAGCCAATGTGCTTCCTCTCTGGGCTAGGACCTAGTTCACGGTGACATGGCCAAACTTACCAAGAAAGTCGTGATCGTCGGTAAATACGGGACCCGCTCTGGGGCCTCCCTCTGGAAAACAGTGAAGAAAACTGAAATCAGCCAGCACCCGAAGTCCACTTGCTCTTTCTGTGGCAGAACCAAGATGAAGAGACGAGCTGTGGGGATCTGGCACTGTGGTTCCCGTATGAAGACAGTGGCTGGCAGTGCCTGGACGTACAATACCACTTCTGCTGTCGTGGTAACATGCACCATCAGAAGACTGAAGGAATTGAAAGACCAATAGTAGATGTCTCTTTGAGATATCACCGGCCTATAGTAAATGGGTTAATTTCTCTGACAAAAATAAATAAATAAATTAGCCAATGTGATAAATGCCACTTTTGACAGCCCTGTCCTGAGACAGTGCAGACAGCCAGCAAGGCTTTTTCCAACCATTTCTCATTTATCTTTGAATTTCTTTCTTTCTTTCTTTCTTTTTTTTTTTTTTTTTTTTCCTTAAGACGGAGTCTTTTCCCCCTGTTAGATCTGGCAGAGAAAAAAAGAAAGATGGAGTCTTGCTCTGTCACCCAGGCTCAAGTGCAATGCTGTGATCTCGGCTCACTGCAACCTCTGCCTCCCAGGTTCAAGCGATTCTCCTGCTTCAGCTTCCCAAGTAGCTGGGATTACAGGCAACTGCCACCATGCCCGGCTAATTTTTGGTATTTTTAGTAGGGAAGGGTTTCACCATGTTGGCCAGGCTGGTCTCTAACTCCTGACCTCAAGTGATCCGCCCGCCTTAGCCTCCCAAAGTGCTGGGATTACAGGCCTGAGCCACCGTGCCTGGCCTATCTTTGAATTTTTAATCATCTCAGGTAATTGTATTCCATTGTTTCTTTTTTTTTTTGAGACAGAGTTTTGCTCTTGTTACCCAGGCTGGAGTGCAATGGTGCGATCTCAACTCACCGCAACCTCTGCCTCCTGGGTTCAGGCAATTCTCCTGCCTCAGCCTCCTGAGTAGCTGGGATTACAGGCACATGCCACCATGCCCAGCTAATTTTTTGTATTTTTAGTAGAGACAGGGTTTTACCATGTTGACAAGGTCTCGATCTCTTGACCTTGTGATCCACCCGCCTCAGCCTCCCAAAGTTCTGGGATTACAGGCGTGAGCCACCGCACCAGGCTATATTCCATTGTTTCTCTTAACAATGTTTGTCAATCTTGTCCTGCCAACTGGTAAGTTTCCTGAGGGCAGCAAAGGACCACTGCTGACCTGTGGAAAGGACCAAAGGCCTGCTGTGAACTTAAACCTGGACAGGAGAGAACATTCAGGCAAGGAGTATTTCACTGAGGTTTTGATACAGAAAAAAATAAGAGGCCAGTTGAATGTGGACCCATAAGGGAATGGTTAACTGAATTATGGTACATACACTCAACACAATGCTATGCAGCTATGGTCCACACAGATTACACGTGGTAATGTGGAAAATACCAATGATATATATCCCGTGACAGTCAGAGTCCCTGCAGGAAACAGATGGCACACTCAAAATTGGGGAAATTGAGAAGGGTCTAATAAAGGGGCTATTTACAAAGGTGTGGGTGGCTCTGGAAAAGCGATAGAGCAGATGGGCACTGTTTCCGTGGCTAGGCCAGGTGTCGAGGGAGAAGCGGGGCCTGCTGGAACATAAGGGGAGAACTACCTGGAGATGGTCCAGACAGGAACTGCAGGCTTTGATGGAGGGACACTGTTAGTCTTCGGTGATCTGGAAAGGAGGAAAAAGGGGAAGGAATATTCCTCAAACCCAACCAGAAGCCAGCAGGGGAGCAGCACACAGCAGCCTCCTGGAGCACCAAGGTGGAGGAAGGGGAAGGGGAGGGGGAGAGAGAGGGACTTTGGCATGATCTAAAGGAGGCTGGAAAGCCTCCAAAGCAGCCTCAGAAGTGAGTTCTGTCTGACCTCCTACCCTCCTGTTTCTTGCTCCTCTTTCTTCCCCCTAAAGTCCTAGAAAAAAAAAGTCCTCTTCCCCAAGGTGGGTTATAGAAACTAGAATCCCAAGGCCAGGCCCGGTGGCTCATGACAATCCC